GAGAAAGGAAAAAAAAAAAGGAAAGGGAAGACTCCCCAGTGGCCCGCTGGGGAGAGGAGCAAAGGCAACTGCCTTTCCGTGGACATACAGTCCAGTGCAGTAGGTTACAAAGAGTTTTTGCCATGCATCTCCTCTGGTGCGATACATTTTCATTGGGACCTGCACAGACTCCTCGTTTGCTTTTCCCATTTCTGATGCTCTTAATGAGCGGTACATTCTTAGTCAGGTACAAGTGTTACAGACTGCTTGCTAAGTATTTGTGTATATATGTTATGGGGCAGTAGTTACTGGGTGTTTAAATTACTGTATCTGCTTTGTTACGCACTAAGTTTAATCTTTCTTTGATATGAGCTGAAAGCTACAAGGCAAGGTGTGGGAATAAATAAGGAGTGATTCGCACACCAGTGGCAATAGTGTCCAATTAGTCTCTGTAATTATGGTGTTTGAGCTTGCAGGTACAAAATAAGGAGGGTAGCGCCGTGAGAACAACAGCTTCAGAGAGCCAAGGAAAGGAGACATATAGCCACAATAACTGGCTGAAGGATACAGAGCTGCAAGTGAAAGGCAGGTCACGATTGTAAATGGACAGCTCATAGCATTACACATCTTAAGGCACTGTGCAACAGTGTGATGCTTCCTAGGAAGAGAAGCTACAGAGCATGTTTCCAAATAAGTCCACCTGCTTAAGTCCCCCAAGAGAAAAGGATGCTGAGAAATTGTTTCATGCGTGTCTTCTGAAGGTGTCTTGGAAGCAGACAGGGAGCAGGGCAGTAGGGCTGAATGATTTCTCCTAGCACTGATTGCTTGCCTCTGCCACCTTTCCTGAGGGAGTGGATGTCGTCTTTTCCCTCTGTATCTGGATGTGTGCCTGAGACAGTAAGATAAAGAATGTATCCCTCTGGCAAGATGACATTTAGAAGTGGATGTTTGCCACCAGCCACCTCCCAAGTTGTCCTCAGAAAAGAGGGTGGCTTTCCAGTGGTCTGGTTTAATTACTGTGGAGGATGCATGTTACATGAGTCACAGTGTGGGCACATCTGCTTTAAGCTATTGATCTCTTTTTCTTCAGGTCAAGCTGCAAACTTGCACGCTGAAGCAGAGAGCATCAGGCATCAATGTATTAAGTTTTTGCATTATGTGAAAGTTTTCATCTTCAGGTGAGATCTGCATGCAATTTGCTAACTCATGTACTGAGTTTTGTGTAGCTGCTTCTTATCCACTTTCTGACTGTGTGTCTGTGTGTGTGTGTGTTCAGGTATCTGGAACCTTCTAAAGTGGAAAATGATGGAATGCTCCATCCATATGAAGAACTAGAAGCGCAGTTACCATCAGTGTTGGTGGAAGAGCTTCATGCTTTGACCATGCACATTGGTCACCTTTGTGAACTCCCTAGTAGTGTCCTGGCAGCATTTACTATTCAACATCAGGCAAAGGTTGATGTCTTTTTATATTATTTTTTTTCTTGTGTAACAGTACGTATTCAACTTGATAAATTTTCATTGAATAAGAATTAATCTTCAGGCTGAAATTGAAGTTACACTTTATATTTTGGGTTTTTTTTTTTAATTCCCCTTATTAACTAAGTGCCATCCCATACTTGGCCAACGCAACTAATGAGCTCTGGATTTTCTGTTGTTGTATTTATTTATTTATTTATTTATGTTTTATAGCTTTTAGAATTCTTCCTGCACTACACAAGCGATAATACCAATTACAGGTAGATAAGTAGACTTGAATTAGCATAACATGTTTAAAAAATTCCTTGGTGCTTGTCCTTACTAATGGTTATAATTTCTGAGCTTCCCAGTAGGAGGGGCACTTTTTAAAAAATACATTCTGAAATCTGACTCAAAATAGGAAAAGATCATGCAAATAAGGAAGAGTGCAGACATGGAAGTAGGCACTGCAACATTAAACACTAGTGAGGTATACACCATTAAAATTTCTGCATATATATGATAACTAATGCTTTCCAATCTTTTGGAAAGAAAACAGGAATTTCAGTCTTAGGTTGTATGAACTAGTATCTATCTGGAGAAGAATGATCCACTGCGAAGCAGCATTTTGAATCTTTCTGTTTGTTTAGCTTGTCACTAGGGCCACTGTTGAGCTGATGAAAGAAACAGTAATTTCAAGGAAAATTTAAGGAAAAGACTATTGAGATTTTGGAATTACTTTAAGAGCACACTTCAGCTGTTTGTGTGCTACCTAATACTTTTCTGGACAGGAAAGGATAACTAAGGATATTGTAATCTGTCAACCTTGAATCAAGACATTGTGTTTAAATTGTGGTTTAGATCAGATTAAAGACTTCACGAATATCTTCTACAGGCATAATTAATTGTCATGAAGGTTTTTTTGTGTTATTTTTTTGTCCTTGAACTGAATGGCATGTTTGTATGTTACAGTGTATTTGATCATAGATATCCATAATGTTCACTACAGGCAAAACGTATGCCCATCTTCACATGCCTTAGTACATTATCCAGAATTCGCTAAAGAAATGTTAGAAATAAATAAACGAGTCTATTTCTAATCACAGGTCTTTCCCCCAGCGTGGCATTTACTACATCTCCACTTGGATGTTAAGTGGCTAATATTGGAAGTTTTTCATGTACTAGGTGAAAAAATGATGAGTAAGTATGCAGGTTTTTTTCCTTGAACTTATTCTTGTACATATGACTTACCTAGGTTTCTCATCTTAATTTGTCCAGAACCATTTACTACTTTTGGTAGTTTTCAAGCATAGCTGTGTTCATTGGGGTAAACTCAAATATGGTGAAGGCAGGCTCTTTGAATTTTCATGTTGTTCAAATTAAATTAAATAGTATTAGGAATTGGTTCTCTCAAAACTTGACCAGGATTATGAAGTTTGTTCTCAGCTGGTGCTTATAACATATTAGTTAATAACAATACACTTTTTGACATGGCAAATAAAAATGCATTTTTGAGATCCAAAACGCATAAGAGTGAACAGAAAATTGATTAAAACAATGTAGGAAAAGTGTCCAAGGATGGGCCAGAACAAAGAATCTCAGAACAGATAATTTTTATTGTTAACTATGTGCAACATTAAGAAAATACTGAGCAAAATAAGCCGCCTCAGTCAGAGGAGCTTGTAAAAGTACAGCAAGAAAAGGGCAAGGCAAGACCTTTTTTTTCATTTTTTTGGTGTTTTTTTTTTTTTAATGCTTTAAAAGGGCAAAAAGTAGATTGATAAGAGTAAGCTGTTCATAGAACCTAGATAAAAAAGGTCATAGAATGCAGTTGAAGAACCCAACCTCAAGGTAGTTCAGTTTGCTAAAGAATTGTTAAAATAAAGAGAACCTCATTTACTTTGTGAGAATTATATTTATTGTTCATGTCCATGCTAGCAAAATAAATCACAAAAATGGATTTTCTTCTATAATCATGTCACTACAACCAAACCTCCCTCCTGGCCCCTGGTTATTATAAATCATCAATATAAGTTCTATATAGGAATTGCAACAGTTGGAGTAACATTGAGGTCTAGAAAGAATGCACTGTTTATGTTTAGCCCAGGTTAACTGGTACTGAATGTGATCTCTTGGATTAGCTTTTGCCTGCTCTGAGTGCTGTCACAACACAGCCTTGTTCGGATTGGTGCATCTTCAGTGTTTCTGCATGTTCGTGTTACTGGATAACGTGTGGGTTCACTGTTTGTTCTTAAGTTTGTGATCCGTTGTGGAATAACCTTGTTTTCCTTTTTTGGGGCCTTTTGGAGAAAGGATAGAAAAGCTGTTGGAGGCAATTTATTGTCCAGAATTCTATATTTATTTCTAAATAAAGTTCTGAGTAATGATGCAGTAATCCATTTTCATAAGAGAAAGCTTGTGCTTTTTAACAACAAAATTTACTAGTCATGACAGTACTATCTCCGCATATATTATCTTCTCTTGTATTCTTAAGTGCCTTGTAGAATTTCTTAGGTTCTCATCTCCTTCTGTAAAGTTTGCTGAGTAGAAACTTCACACTGCTGAGACCAGTGGCAGGATAGTGGGTTCAGGGCTTCACCCTGCATTTCCAAGAATAAACTACAGGCTTGTTCTACGTATCTTCTGTTCCACTGATGTCAAGGGAGTTGTAGTGTTGAAAAACTTGTGGGATAAGATCTTACAGCCTCTTAACTTTACCATTGTATCTGTGTTAATGTCTACAAATGCTCAAGTTGGAATATGATTATGCCAGTTTTTTACATCAACACATCCAAAGGAAAGTGTTAGACCTCTCCAGAATTGTTTGTCTTCAACTTGCATATCTGCAAAACATGTCATGATTTCAGAACATGCGCACTGGCATGTGACAAAAAGGAACTTGCAGGTAAATCTTTATTCTGCTGCAGAAACTGTGCCAATAGAAGGCTGCAAAGTGCCAAACTATTTTACTGTCAACCAGAATAATAACAGACTGCAGTGTAACAATGAAGGGACTAGCCTGAGCTTAAAGTGGATGAACTTTCCCAAATGAGTTTGTAAATTAAAATTATATACAGATTCTGTCTTTCTTTTATTCCTACAGCCAAACCCAGGACTAAACAGGTTTAATTTTCTTTTGTGTTTTAGGACAAGTTGTATATGCTAACCATTTCATAAATCTAACCGGAGAGAATTTAACCAGTATCAGTTTATTTGAAACACACTGTGGAAATCTTGTATCTGATTTAATAAACTTGTCCATCAACAAGTATATAAAGGTAACTTTTTCTCTTTCTACAGGACATGGGCAGTTAGATGCTTGTATTGGGAACTGTATGAATTGGATATTGCACTGATGTATAGATGACTTCTTACTGCTAAATTTTAAATGTTATGTATGGCTTTATATCTCCATGTTTTAAAGAGCGTTATTTGTTAGGAGCTCAAATTGTGTTATATTTATTCATGACCATCTGGCTGTTGAATGAGAGAGTAATATTAAAATGCACTGTGTACTGAGCAGAAGTGAGTGCCATGTTTTCAAAGTTCAGTGTTCCAGGTTTAATGCCAGACATGGCACAGTCTAAAAGGTTTAGAGCTATAGATGCAAAAAAGTCTCTTCAAACTCTCTCAACAGGAACAGAAAGAGAATAATTGTAATCCTGGCAGCAAACTAACTGGTCATTTACAGAATGTCATATTACAGTTTATTGTTGCACTGCTCCTATTTCTGCAACCTCATCTTTCCATTACATCACTTTTACATTTGTCAAGGGAAAACTTGTCCTCTCTTTCCTTTTCTTTTTCTTTCCTTCTATAGCTGCAGTGTTTTTCTCACTTGTTTTAAGCACTCCAAATCTAGAAAGTCATAATAGCTCCATATAGCAGCTAGTAAAAGATCTGTGTCATCTTCTTTGTGTAATGACACAATGGTGAAACCTGCTTTAGATGGGCACGTGTGCTTCATGAGCACAGGACTGAACTCTGAGAATAAGTAGCAGTGACCACTGTATAATTAATGTTTTCCTAGTACAAAGGCATGAAAAATGGAGTCCCCCTTCTTTCATATTACTGGTTGGGGGGAGGAGTGGCTGTACTAGCATTTTATAACTGTTCTTTTAAACTATCTTTCTGTAGAGAACTGTTACCTTTTAAAATCAGTTTTGACCTATTATCAGATAATATTGCAACCTTCTTCCCCTGTCAAAAGGCAAATAGATGAGAGTAGTTTTTTAAAGGAATATTCAAATAGTATCTGTTGACCATTGTGCTTGATGGTAGGCTTTGAAATGTCATATGTTAAAATGACAGATTCATCCTGCTTCCACAGAGCCACATTACAAAGAGAGAAGATTGTCTTGCCACCACTTTTTCTTCATCTTT